CAAGCTCCGCTACCAACTGTGCCGGAAACGGTCACAGCTGGCGCGCAAAAGCTTCAGCGATCTTTTTCTACACTCTGCCGCATGTTGCCCCTTGAGCCATCCGGTGGCCGATGCGAAGCAACCTGCGTCTCTGGTCAATCCTCAGTCTGATGTTCGTGCAACACAGCAGCTGAAATTTCACAGACTATACTACACAAACATGGCGTGAGGTACGCGACCCTTTTGATTGGGAAGCTTAAGATGGTGCAACATGCTCATCACAACATGCTTCCGCCGCACTCTGGAATTGGGAAGCTTATCGGCTACTGTCGCTTCTCTTACGAGGTGCTTCGCAAAACTATTAACTGCCGTTCGCTTTTCCAATGCCGTGTTGCTGGCTTCTTTGTTGGAGTCCGCTGTTGTCCGACTGTACTCCTTTGCTGCATATGTTCTCTTCCACGGCGAAGATGAGGAGAAGCCAGTAGCTAATGTCTGTTTCAAGGCAAAGGCAGGCCGAGCTCAGTGCATGCCGCTGCGGAAAAATGCTCTGAAATCAAGCTTTAATCCTCTTTTGAAACGGTTTGTGCCTCTGGGCATGCGTGATGAGCTGCTGGCTGCTATTGCACCTGCAGTGGTTGGTGCGGGTGCTGATTTAGGATGGCTTCGCAATTCGTGTTTGTAGCGTGAGTCCCACTTGGGTGGGGTATGTTGGCATGTTTGTGACCCAACCTCTGGCGGGTGAGACTTTTGACACATTTCGCTGCAATCATCTCAACATTTTGCAGTTGCTTGACACTTGGCATCAAAAGGTTTTCGGTTTTTCCATGCTGTTTGGGAGGTGCAGCGTTTAATGCTGGGATCGCTGTAAAGTGCCCGCCGGCCGCATGTGACTGCATTCTTTTTAGGAGATGCTGCCTCCTGCAAGAACGACTCCAGTCACGCCTGCACACGATGTGGCAGCAAAGTGGGCGCCGGTAAGTCCGCAAGCCAAGAGATGGCTTTGCAAGTGCCTTCGAGAGGTGTACGAGCAGCCTGCCGAAGGAGTAACTTTGCCAGGGCCTGAGCGAGGCGAATGTAGAAGGACTTGGGAAACGGAAAACGATGTATCTTGGACGCCCTCTGTTGTGGTGGCACCAACCGCAGCTCCTGTTATCCACCGTCCATGCAGCAAGTCAAGGTCCTGTCTCTAAGCACCTGGATTGCAACCTTGTGCTCGAAGATCGGTACCAACTTCAGCAAGCAACTGCCCTGCCTGCAATATGCGAGATGCCAGACATTAAAACAACATGAAACTGGAAGCAGCTGATTAAGCATGATGAATCCGCCTCGCCAGATGAAGTCCGATAAAGTAGCAGGCAAACCTGCTGCAAGCCATTTCTGAGACGAAACACCCGGGAAGCAAGTCGGCAAAGCTTCAGATCCCGGCGTCCTGTCGATAAGGCGACTTTTCCAATCGAACTTAGTGCTTGCGGTCAGGCTGTCTTATCATCGCCTACACAACTAGCATCCCTCAACAGCTTGACCTGCAGCTCTTGCTCAACATCTAGGGGGACTGCGCTACTGTGTCTCCGGAATCGTTGGATTCACAACAGACGCAATGCTCACATCTTCGATGACGTCGACACCCAGAAATGTGTAACTTACAGGCTTTGGCCAACGTGTTTTGACATCTTCTTGTATTGAATCTTGCTGTCGTTGCCGTCCGACGTCCCGGTCGACAAAGCCCGCTGCAGCTGACATCTTCGAGACTTGACAGGATCGGGCTTTCCGGAGCAGATTGATTAACACCTCGACAGTTTAATCGACACCTATCACGGATTTTGCTGCGAATTGGTAACAGTCTGGAGGCTTGCTGCCAGACAACGGCGGTCGACACTGTACGTGCGACACGTGAAAAGGTTCTGCAGTGCGATGCGGGATACCGGCGCGGAAACGGCCAAAACCTGACATCGCATAAACAGGGACATGGTCAACAAGCCGCACGAAGAATTACTCCTAGAAGCCACGCTGAATGTCCAAACACCCACAACGAAAATGGAATGCATACGCGCCAGCAGAGCTAATAGACTAATAGTATCCGTATCCTGCCTGCTTTCTCCTGCCTTTTCAGCTCAAACACCAGGTTTCCAGAAGTTATGATCGAAACAAACTAGGTTTTCTGCATGGGTTGGAAACCTTCTGCGCGAAAACGCTGGTCCCCGCATCCTGTCTGCCTTCTCCTGCCTTGCCAGCTCAAACACGAGGTCTTCAGAAGGTTGTCCCCGAAATAGAGTAGGATTTTGCATGGATTGGAAGCTTGCCGCGCGAAAATGCTCTTTTATTTCGCATCCTGCCTACACGCTAGCAGAATCCGATCCGAGCAGACAAGGTGCGGCACTTTACAAACTCTACGGATTGGTCGTTAGATCCAATAGCCGAGGCCTGCTCCAGCGGCGAGTCCAAGGATTCGGATCTGGTTTGTGCAGCAACAAAACATAACAAAACACTTCAAGGTTTGAGGTTCTCGGGCTCACCGGTTTAGAACTCCGATCCTGGGAAACTCTGAAATGTGTCCAGATGAACTGATATCCAATACCCGTGAGAAGGGCTGTGGGGCTTAGACTCAGTGTTTTTGGTTTTCTATGGTTTTCTGATTTACGTAGGGTTTATTTTTGGTGACGGCGCCTGTACGCGCCTATGCGTTTTTGCAGGTTTCAGGGTATTGGGGTGGGGGGTGTGGGGGGGGGGTAAGAACGTCATTCATATTGCGCCCATGCGCAAAACACCGGTATTTGCAGCGTTTTCGCCTCTTTGTCCAACCAAACATAAACCCAATCCTTAACCCTAAGTCTAACCTAAGACCTAGGACAAGTCAATACTCTCTCTCAAAAAAAGTTTTGTTCTGCAGCCTCTTCAAAAATGAGCTTAAAACCCGAGCGAAAACGCAGTTAGGCTCAAAGTTTACTCCAGCCTCTAGTGTTTCGCGTACCTGCCTGAACCATAAATTTCTGTGAGATTGCGCTCTCGCTGTGGTTTCGCGCGCATCCATGCAAAACGCCTCATTCTGAAATCGCTAAAAACGCATAGGCGCGTACAGGCGCTGTCACCTTATTTTTTCCCTCCTACCTAGGGTTTTTAGAGCTTGGGGTTTAGGCCTAAGCCTTGGGCCTACACGCCGTGGTCCAGGCAAAAGCCCCAAGATACCGACGCGACTTGTCTTGTGGCGGGGGAAACGACGCACAGCCTTGGGGGATACGATGCGGCTGTGGCGGGGGATGCGACGCGACTGGCGGGGGATACGACGCGGTTGGCGGGGGGATGCGACGCGACTGCATGGCGGGGATGCGCCGAGAGATACGACGCAGACGAAGCCGGTCGGCGGGGGATATACTGCGACTGGTGGGGGATACGCTGGACAGGAGGTTTGAGCCACTGTATACACGCCTCTGTACAGCAAAATGCCAGACAACCCCAACACCCACTGGCGGCAATCCCTCCATAATCTCGGCATCTACTCAGAGTATGTTCTTTGCGCCACCTACAGCTTGCGTGTAACTGACATGGCTTGGAGGCTTACTTATAAGCATGTGGCTGCGCTCGCTTAGTGAAGGTATGCCACGGTCCAGGTCGGTTTTGCATTTGCATGATCAGCCAACCCTCCGAATGAAGCAAGAGCATGAGGGCTCCTGCAACCGAGCGGTAGGGCAAACGCAACAGATTGCCTGCATGCAGTCAAATTTGCTGCAGCATGCTGCAGCAAGCATACCTGGAAAGCTGCCGGACTACCGGAAGACGTAGTCAGTGCAAGCACATTCTGCTCAGCTGTGTGCTCAGGAAGAAGGCGGTGCAAAATGAAAGATACGAGTGTAAAGTGAGTGCTATCTACAACATGAATGAAACCCGACACCAACGACTGCATGTGGAAGCTGAACAAAGTCATGAGCAAAGGGAGAACATGGAGGTATCCGTGTCATCTTGGCCAGAATGCATCGCTGTACTTGCAAAGCAGAAAACATACGTAGTTTGGTGCAAAACCCATGATGAAATACGATGAAATCAAGTAAGCTGGCTTTTCCTGGCAATTCCACAGGCTTCTGGAGGAACGTCGTGGCAACATGTTGGACGTCTGTAACGGATGAATTGGATGATGAGGTGTGCCACTTATCTGGACTCCGGCAGACTCCATATTCCGGGAGCGAGGGAGCAAATCATGTGCAAAACGCCACGCAAATTGTGATCAATAGCGTGACCTGGACCAAATGCCATCTAGCTTGAATTCAGTTCTACTTGAGGAAACAACTTACAAGCCTTCTGAGGCAAAGGCGTCCAATGGCCAATGCAAGGGCTCCAAGCTTGCCTTCACTCGGTCCTTCCACTGCCGGATCACGAACTGGCATGCTTGCCCTGGCCCCAGCACAGTGAAAACGATGCGCTGCTTTCATTCATCCTCGTTCACCACCCTCTGCAACGATGAGCCGGTCGGGTATGAGAACCGAATCCTCCCGCAGAGCATCAACTTCGGCAAGGCCTCCACGAAGACTGCAGGGAGAATGCAGTGAGTCTCTCCTGCTCGCTTTCGGCGGCCTTCGCCAAAGAAGCCGTGCTGTGCGACATCTTTCCTCTCGGAACGCCTCCAAAGGATGCCTAAGCTACATTGTGGGCAAAGTGCTCGAAGTAAGAGGAAATCGATTCCCGAGCCCCGCACAGATGCCCCTGATGCAGCTGCCAATACCATCCATATTCTGACACGAAGGCATTTTCAGCCATCGTGCCAATTCGTGATGTTTGACTGGTTTCGTATCACCGGCGAGGCTGTGAGCGCATGAAGTGCGTCCGCATCTACATCGGCGTTGGCTGCTGGATGAAGGCTTATGAAGGCTTGCAAAATTTTGCAATGATCAACGTGTGCTTCAAGCCCAAAGGCAGCCTTGTGGCCGGCAACGTGCCGCAAAGCATCGACAGTTGCTCCGAGCTCTGCCAGCTGTGCACGGACTACAGTGCAACTGTGCAAGTACAGCCTACAGCTATGGTAAGGTTTCGACATCGTTGGATTCGCGGCCTTGCTGAGCTGGAACCTTCGGGGCTTCTCATGAAGCATGAGGAAGGCAGCTGGTGCCCTTTTCGACACTGGCTGCACCGGAGACCGAGGCTGTCAGTGTCGGCTTCCAAGAAATGTGGATTTTGCATCGGGCGCTGCCAGAGAGCTTGGATCGGAATTGGGGAGCTCCATACTCAAGACATCACGCGGATGCCCCGTCTCCACTCTGGGTCAGAGCTCGGCTTGGTTAAACGGAGGACCGCACTTAACACACAAGCAACCATTGGGCTGGGGAGCCGATCTAAGTGATGAAGCACAGTTGCATGAAGGTTACTTGCAGCTACCGCATGGCAGGCACACATTATCTGCCGACGGGATGTGCGTGCCGTGACCTGACCAAGCCCACACATGCCACATAATCTGCGCCTCGTCTTTATCATTTCGAGCGGCTGTACCTTTCGAGCTAGCACGCTGAACTTTCCTGGTGACACTCGTGCTGGATGAGATTGGAACCACGACTGACTCCACGCCGCCAGCAACCCCGCCGGCAAGGGCAGCTTCGCGGCTCATGCTCAGCTGCCACGGGCACGGCTTTGGCCGAAAAGATCTGCAGTCACGCCATGGCAGCAGCAATGTCAATCACAAAATCAAACACTTATGCACTCCTGAGAACATGCCGTGCTAGCGAAAAACCATCTGCGTTGGGAGTCAACGTGCACTCCAGGAACGTCGTGTTCTTGATCTGCCAGCGCTGTAATATGGGCCACGTGATGCGTATGTGTGTTCTTCTCGAGATGTCTTTGCGTGTCCGGTGTTTGCATGACGTGGTCTAGATCTGAACCTGCTGAAATGCTTGCAGCATCGTCTTCTGAAGAACTGCAGTTTCCTAACACGTCATTCCGCCGGTCACGGGGCCCGCTGTTGCAGACTCTGAGCGACTGCGCAAGCACATTCCGAAAGGCTTTGCTGAACTTTGCTGGTCTGGCATCTTCAGCGGCCGTGCGCAGGTTACGCTGGGTTCGGCGGACCGGAAAAGAATGACCTGATCATTCGCCAACGCCAGAAAATTCGCGAGTTTGACCGGGCCCACCTTGCGAACCCGTTGCGGCCACACATGACCTGCGGTGGCTTCTATTCTAGCTGTGTGGCGAAACTTGAGCATCTGATGCACGAATCTCCCTGCTGACCGCAGCATGCTGTAGGTTGCATGATCTTGCATGACTTCTCTACGAAAGCAGCTTCAGCGGCGAGGAACAGGTGGGAATTGCTGTTTGGCATGTTCGTCGCAGGTACATGTTTGTTGCTTCTCGCCATATGGACTGGCACAGAACAGGGGCCGGCGAAGTGCGAAGCCTGTTCGCTTATAGGTGTTTCAAACCAAGCCACAAGGCCACCCACTCTTCTGTTCACGAGATTCAGAAACATGAAGTTCTTCAATGTTCTTCAGATAGCTACCATGCTCAGTAGCTCTTCTCAAACTATGTCCTCGGAGCCCTACACAACCCTGGCTGAACACCCATGCTTCAACAATCTTGTTTCCACTACGCTTCTGTGGCGACGAATCTGCAACACGCACACAAACGTCATGACGGCGAGCTGGTGGCAAGTAGTCTAACGTCCATCATGCTTTCATGGTCGAACTGAAGAAAGTTGAGCATGATTCTTGGGGCGCAAACTTTTCGAAGCTTTGGCCGAAACAAGAAAAGACAGGCGTTGTTTTTGATAGTGCTGATAGTGAGGCTTGCCCAAAGCTGCTCCGTTGTCGCCTTGGTTTGGGCTCTGCAAAGGCGTCCATCAGCTGCTCTAAAACTAGTGTGTAGCGCGAATTCGTTCTGCCTGCTCGCACCAAGGTTGGGCGAATATCCCAAATTGGTATACTCGGTGGGCCCGATCCGAAAATAGTATACTCGGTCGACCAAGAGAGCATCAGCCCGGTCCTTCTTTCACTTGCTTGCGGCTGGCGAAGGCTATCACGAACACAAGCAACTGCTTCATCTTCTTCCGCAAATTGACTGCTCTGATACGCATACCGTGCGCGATGCAAATGAGTTGATTGGTCTGCGGCGTGCTTCCGATTGGAAAACTCCTTCAGGCCGTCCCTCCCCCAGAAGCCGGCACCTTTCATGAGCTGGCTGCATGCATGCAGTGAGAAGGCGGGCTGCACAAATCAAAGAAATTAGGACGGGCGCCCATGCCGCTTGGCCCTGTTCCACCAAAGTTGGCAGCGTAGTTGGAGATCATGCGCTGGCCCAGGGGCAATCAACGTAGCACCGAAGAAATGCAAGTCGGGTCAGGACAAAACACCGTTTGCGCACCATAGGCCCTCCATTCACAGCAATGTTGCCAGCTGGCACGTTGTTGACAAATATTGCCTCAACTTGTCTGTCCTGGCACGGACAGATACAAAACTGAGCAATGTTGACCAATGTCACATGAGTCCGTGCAAAGCGAAACAGAGCCATCCTGGGTATAGCAATATGCAATCAAGGGCTTGGTGGCGACGGCATTGATGATGCAAACAGCCTCTCGCGCAATTTTGCTATACAATTCCCAAACTTGCACGAGACCGTACCGTAAAGTGAAGTCGCCTCCTGTACATCCCGGACAGGCAAGATGGGCAGCAACGGTCCGAATATTTCTTGTTGAAGCACCTCGCTCTGAGGAAAGGCGTGGTTGATCGTGATTGCATGCGTTCCCTTACCGCGGCTCCTCGCAGTCATTCCTCATGCCAGTCTATCGCGGCAGGCCCTCAGGAAGCTCCCGACAGCTCGATCTCGTGCAGGTGCGAGAATTCCAGTCATCGGCACAGACATCGCCTGTCAGCGAAAAGGGTGCAGTGGTGATGCAGAGCCACAACCATGGATAATCACGATCATGATGACACCCAACACTTTCTATAAAATAAGAGCGGCCTCGTCATGGAAGCCATGCTCGTCGCTGACTGGCGGAATCTGAAGCGGTTGCATTGATGAAAACCGACAGCAACTGAACAGCGCACCGAGGTCGAAACGCACTCCGCTTGACAGTCTTGAAACAGCCGGATCATGTTGTTATACTGCTTCCTTCCAAGCATCCGCACGTTGCGCCTTTGACAAAGGTCAATGCTCGTGCTTGCAGCTAGCGCTTGCTTCCGATCACCTGTCCGTATTGGCCCGAAAACTGCTGAGGCGGTGGCTTGGCACCCAAACCCTCCACCATGACCTGTTAATGCGGACATGAAACATTGCCCGGATGCGTTTTCAAGGCTCAGCCTTGAACACGCGGCAGAAGGCAGACAAGACCGATTCGTGGACCAGGACCTGAGTGTCTAATGACGAGCATTTGCATAATGTATGTATACATATATATATATACATATATACATATATATATATATATATATATATGTATATATACATATGTGTGTGTGTGTGTGTGTATTTGTATACACACTTGTAGATATATGTGCGTAAATGTAGAATTTTTTTGTCACTCGCACTGGACGCATCGGGCGAGGTTGTCCAGAAGTACATAAACACATGCAGACGAGATTAAACTCACAAACAAATGAAAACGCATACATATGCAGTCGTTTGCCTGTTTTTGCTTAATTATGTTTACAGATATTTACATTCATACATATTCATACTGAAACAGATGCATGTGTTTATTGTGATCATACAAACCCAAAACTAAACAAGTAGATGTATACTCATGCAAAATACATAAGCACCTGCCAATCAATGTAAAAACTGCATTTTATACCTGCATGTATATTCGCAAGGCTAGATGTACACATTCATTTATCTAACTGTGCAGATATCTACATACACAACAGAATCATATAGTATGTGGCCGAGACCTTTCGGGTCTATTTCACGCCTCTGCTTGCCGATTTTGTTGCTGCCTTTTACTACTATTACCACTATTACTACGACGACGACTATTTCAATTGAACGCTGCGCGAGCGTGCTCTGCGCTTTGCGGGCGCCTTTGCTCCCATGCACTCGTGAAACGAGAAAGCTGCTGCATCAAACGCCCAGGAATTCCCTCTCATTTAGTTCCGACTCTACTAGAGACGGCTTGAAACAGCAACCTCCTCCGACACCCTAAGTGTGGGCCACCGCGTCCGGTGCACACGTACTTGAAGGCAGATGGGTCGTACTTCCGAGGAAGCCGGCACCCTGAGTTCCCGTCTAGTGGCGTCTCACACTAGGTAACTCCTGCTCCAAGCGATGGGCCGTAAGGGAATGACGGTAAGGATCTTGCGGTACCTGCAGAAGAGGCCAGCGGCCAGACTTTACTGATGATCAATTCTCGAACAGAGCAAGCTATGAGCTGAGAGCCGACTGTTTTAATCCAGGCTCGTTCGTGGTACCATGCTGTCATCCGAAGAAATGCATTCAGCAGTCAGAGTCGGCGGCTTCATTTAGGTTCCCTGAGGCGGTGCCACATGGGATGCATGCGTGGCGGTGCCAAGCTGCTGGTACGGTACAAGGAAGAGAAAAGCAGACTGTACAGGCCATATCTCATCACTGATTTGGGTACTGGGGCCACGACGGGTACTGGGGGTAGTAGCCTCCCCAGTTCCAGTTCTGCCACTGCCAGTCCCAGTCAGCTTCGTAGGACGGGGATGAAGGCGCGGAATCCCGAGGTCGCTTGCCCTCTTGGTCGGCCTCTCGTGCCTGAGGGCGCTTGGCAGGAGCTGCCGATGACTTCGGACCCGGATTTTTATCTTCTTCGGCCCCTTTGTCATGGTCGATCTTCATTTTCATGAGGGTGATGTTCGAATCTCGGTTGGGCTTGACCTTAAGCCTTAAACATCCTCGTAACCAGGCCCGCTGAGCGTGCAGCTTCATTGTAGACGGTCGAGATAGAAGTTGAACTCAGGTGGGAAAGTGCCGGGTGCAGGAAGGCTCCTCCCACATCGATTGAAGCACGCGTTGATAAGGCCGTGGACCATGGTCGGTGTCGCGAGCTCGCAGTAGGTGTCATCTTTGCCGGTGGCGATAGTGACTTGTCCTTGACTGTTGAGGACACGCCGCACTGACATTGCCAGATCCCATGTGAAACCGTTTTTGGTCTTGACCGTCGTGATGGCTTCGAAGAGTGGCGGAACTTGTCGGAGCGCGCCAATGCATGTCGTCGGTGCTCCTGATTCGAAAGGCTGCCGATGATGATAGGGTTGCCCAGGATGTTGATGGTGGCAAGCACGCGAACCCAATCCTGGAGAGAGGGAGAGCCCAGCATCTGAACCAACTCTTGCCTGGAGTAGATCCTGTCAGTGTCGGGGGCTGGCTGGGACACATAGTTGACCAGCGGGGCACCGTTGCCTTGGCGACCATCTTTCTACACTTCTCTTTTAGTGTCGCGGCAATGCTCTTCTTGACGTCGAGCCCCTGGCGCTGATGCTCATGCGGTCGTGAAGTGATGGAAGCCCTGGGGGCGAAATAATGGAGGCTCTGGGAGCTTCCCCCTTGCAAGGCTTCCGCCCGCAGATCTGCCAGCTCAGGCAAGTGCGAAATGTCACTTGGGTTGAACATCTTCCTGTGGCAGCGAGGGCAGTAAAGATAGCCATCAAGCATCGATCTGACGCTTGCACGGATCATCGGGGCAGCGAACGGTCGGAAAGCCGACGTTGAAGTTCACGGTGTATAGTGATCCCATGCGCTGGGTTCGCTCTGTGGCGAGGCCTCGCGATGAGAACCATACATGGGCATCCAACGTCCATTCGCACGGAGTTCCCTCCAGCGGACTACCTTGCTCGAAACTGATGGTGCGCCTGACGGAGATGCGATGGCTTGACCATGTCGATAAATGCACCGACGAACTCGACCCACCCCAAATTTTCGTTTTCAATGGGGTAGAGGTGGTCGACGTAGTCCATAATGCAGTTGGCGTCAGCTTCACTGTGTGCGCGGTCAATCAAATCCTGATCCGACTGGAAACCGCGATCGCCGGTAGGTCGCATTAGCATATGCCAAAGACCGCACCATCGGTCCGATCGGACACATCAGACGAGAAAACTTCCCCGCGCCAAAATTTAAAGTCCTCGATCGGATCGTCGCAGGGGTGCGGCACCGAGCAGCTGGATTAGTTCCTGGACATAGCCGACAGCAGGAGCTGCTTTAGGCCCGAGATCCACGGGCGAAATCGCTGGTGCCTTTTTGGGCTTGGTAGCAGGACCTGCGCTCTTCGGAGCCATGTGAATCACAGGTCCTCCACCTGTGGCTGCGGGCCAATACTGCCCAAAGCAAAGCACCCAAACTTGTCCACAAAGTAGAGCGCCCAACCACCGTCTGTCCCCAAGGACCCACGTCGCTCCGGAGTAGAGAAGACGGCGAAGTTCGTCCAACCGAAGAGGACAAGTTCCACTCGCTCCACCAGACCGACATAGTACCGGATGAAGCTTGTCCCTTGGGCGGTTCGCCACTTGACGGATCGCCTTGGGCAGGGGGGCTCGTCTCAGTGAGGTTCCCCAGGGACGATGGCCACCAAACAGTGACCAGCGAGGGCAACCAAAGAGCGAGCCATTATGGCAGTGTCCCTGATACCAAACCTTTACACTGAGCCGAAAAGTCTTGAGACAAAGATTCGACTCATTCACTTGCAGAATCTTGCAGAACTCTATGTTATCGCTAACGAGCAAAAATATAGCACTATATATATATATATATATGGGGTATCATATATATATATATATATATATATGTATATATGTATATATGTATATGTGGAGGGCGGCCGCCTGGGGGAGCGTGGCAAACGACCTGATGCCGAGTCCGAATTCCTGAATTGCTTTAGGTGACGCCGAATTGTGACGCCACATTGTCTGACGCCGAATTGTCCCCTGACGCCGAATTGGGTCGTGATGCCGAATTGTTTCCTGACGCCGCATTGTGTGGTGACGCCGAGGTGCTGACGCCGAATTGCTGACGCGGCATTAGGTCGTGACGCCGGATTGGTGACGCTGCATTAGGTGGTGACGCCGGGTTGGGTCGTGACGCCGGATTGTGAAGCCACATTACCCGAGGCCCCTGGATCTGATGCCAGAGCCCAGAACCCTTGCAGATCTTGAACCGTGAGGGTGGGGCCTTGGACTGATGGAGCGCCCCTGATTTTCAAATCAGAGCTCTTATAGACTTATAGATGTTGAACTCGGAGGATAAGGCCTTGGACTGATGCTGCGCCCTTGCAGAACTCGCACAGATCTTGAACTCCGAGGGTTGGGTTTTTCACGAATGGGGCGCCCCTGATCTTTTTAATCAGAACTCTTAAATCGATCTTGAACTTTGAGGATAAGCCTGATGGCGCGCCCCTGATTTTTAAATCAAAACTCTCATAGATATTGAACTCCGAGGATAAGGCCTTGGACTGATGCTGCGTCCCTGATGTTTAAATCGGAACTCTTATAGATCTTGAACTCCGAGGACAAAGCCTTGCACTGATGGGCCGCGCCTGTTTTTCACAACAGACCTCTGATAGACCTTGACCTCTGGGGGTAAGGCCAAAATCTCTTATATATATATATATATTTATATATATATATATATATATATAGATAGGTCTTGAAGTCTGACAATAAGGCTTCGGACCGATGGCGTGCCCCTGATGTGAAAATGAGAACCTTTACAAATCTTTAGCTCCGCGGGTGGGGCCGTGGACTGGTGGGTCTCCCCTAATTTTGAAGTCAGAGCCTTTACAGATCTTATACTATACTCCGAGAAAAGGCCTTTGAAGTGATGGGGCACCCCGGATTTTCAAATCAACAGAAATCTTACAGATCTTGAACTCCGAGGAGAAGGCCTTGGACTGATGGAGCGCTCCTGCATTTTTAAATAAGAACTCGTATTATAGATCTTGAACTCTGGGGACAGGGGCTCGGACCGATGGAGCGCCCCTGATGTTTAAATCAGAACTCTTATAGATCTTGAACAACGAGGATAGAGCCTTGCAATGATGGTGCACCCCTGATTTTCCCAACAGAACTCTGATAGATCTTGACCTCTGAGAATTAGGCCTTGGACTGATGGAGCGCCCCTGATCTTTAATCAGAGCTCTTACAGATCTTGAACCCCGAGGGTGGGGCCTTGGACTGATGGGTCGCTCCAATTTTTAACGCCGAACCTTTACAGATCTTGAACTGGGACTGATGGGCGCCCTGATTTTCTTAATCAGAACTCTTATAGATCTTGAACTCCGACGAAGGAGAGTCCTTGGACTGATGCCCCTGATTCATTCAAAAACTCTTATATAGGTCTTGAACTCTGAGAATAAGGCCTTGGACTGATGGCGCACCCCTGATGCTAAAATCAGAACCCTTACAAATCTTTAACTCCGAGGGTGGGGCCTTGGACTGGTGGGGCACCCCTGGTTTTGAAGTCAGAACCTTTAAAGATCTTGAACTCCGAGAAAATGCTTTGGAAGTGATGGAGCGCCCGTAATTTTGAAATCAGAACCCTCATAGATCTTTGTTCTCTGAGGCCTTGCACCGACGGAGCGCCCCTGATGTTGAAATCAGAACTCTTTTGGATCTTGAACTCCGAGGATAGAGCCTGGCCTTGATGGCGCACCCCTGATTTTTAAAATCAGAACTCTGACAGATCTTGACCTCTGAGCACAAGGCCTTGGACCGATGGAGCGCCCCTGATTTTTAATCAAAACTCTACAGAAGTTGAACTCCGAAGGTGGGGTCTTGGACTGATGGGTCGCCCGGATTTTCAAGGCAAAACCTTAAAACAAGATCTTGAACTGGGACTGATGGGCGCCCCTGATTCTTGTAAACCAGAACTCTTATAGATCTTGAACTCCGTGGTGGGGCCTTGGACAGATGGGGCACCCCTGATTTTTTCAGAATTTTTGCAAGCATTGAACTCTGCGGGTGCATCCTTTGACTGATTGGGCTCCCCTGATTTCGAAATCAGGACTCTTACAAAGCTTGAGCGCCGAGGGTGGAGCCTTGCACTGATCGGGCGCCCTTCTTTTCAACTCAGGACTCTCACAAAATTTGAACTCCGAGGATGGAGCCTTTCACTGCTGGCGCGCCCCGATTTTTCTATCAGAACTTTCACAAACCTTGAACTCCGGAGATCACGCCTTGGACTGGTGGGGCGCCGCTTATCTGATGAGGATGCCTGCGGTGCTTCTGACCGAAGATACAGATTGAGCCATTTCCATACGTGCTCCTCCTCTCAATAAGGAGCACGTATGGAGAAGGAGTTGGGGGTGGGTTGTTTCGGTCATGCTGGCTAAACAACCAATGGACGGTTGGGCGCACACCATCTCATAATCCGCACTCAGCTGTATCTCCCAGGATGGAGCCTTGGACTGAGGGAGAGCCCCTGAAAATGTCATGCGAAACCCATGCTCAGTCAACTGTCATGCGAGTCACGCATGTAAAGCTGCCCTCGCATTCTGCTCGTGGCCGTTATGTCGCGAAAGCGGCTTCGCAATGCGTCTGCACCTACCTGGACCGTAGCCTCGCAATGTGTCTCTTGAAGCCGTCTTCACTACCCCAATGCGTCTTCGCCTACCCAATGTGTCTTCGCAATTCGTCTTCGCCTATCCAATGTGTCTTCGCAATGCGTCTGCGCCACCCAATGCGTCTTCGCAATGTGTCTGCGCCTTCCAATGCGTCACGTACCTATCCTTTTTTATGCTTTCCTGCTCAGCTCCCCTACACAGTCCCAATATGTCCCAAACTGCTCCCATACACCGTCTCCAAATTACGTGGTCGTGCTCCCGTACACAATCCCAAAACATTGGGACCACTCATGGTTTTCGCATCCTAGAGGCTCAAAACCATGAGAGGTCCCAATGTTTTGGGCCCGTATAACACAAAACATTGGGACCTCTCAGCACTTTCGCACTCCAGAGTCCCAAAAGCATGAAAGGTCCCAATGTCTTGAGGGTTTAGAGCCCAAAACCCTGCAAAGTACCAATAAAACCAACGTTCTGGGGGTCTCTGGGGAGCGCGAGCCTGGAGACGCCCAAAACATTGGTTTTATTGGGACCTTCCAAAACATTGGGACCTCTCATGGTTTTCGCATCCAAAAACCCAAACCATGAGAAGTCCTAATGTTTTGGGCCCGTAGAGACCAAAATGCAGACCACCAGGAGGATCTAGGAAGTAGAACCACCGTTTTGGGACGCTATACTACTAAGGGTACTTGACAAGAAGGGTGGTCTGGGCTGGTATACTGGTATATGGGTACACTGGTATACGAAAGTGTACACATACAAAAACATACTACGACATGACTATACATATGTAGATGCGAATACTACTATTAAAACTAAGACTAAGACGCATACCAATACGAATACTAGCACCAACACAAACACTCACACTGGCGGACACGAACACTAATATTAAGACTAATGCCAGTGTTAACATGAGTGCTTATACTAATACTGAGTGAAAACTAATACTAACACTACAACGGTAACACTAGTACAGACACAAAGGCTATTACTCATGATGATAATAATGCTAGGGTTAAACCCAGAACCGGTCTAAGTCAAGACAAAGACTAACACTATTACACAAGCTGGGACTAAGAATAAGACTATAAGATTAGGGTTACAACACGACTAAGACTAAAAAAACACAACTATATTCAACCCCGTAGAATAGCAAACAAAACATATTCGCACAGGGGTACATGAGTATATTAGTATGGTGGCACATACGTGCATTCGTATTTTCCCAGACGACCAGGAGGATCTAGAAAGTAACACCATTATCAATAGCAATACTAGTGCAAATAGTAACACTGATACGGACACTGCCACAGACACCAAGACTAACATTCACACTCACACTGACGAACACGAATACTAGCGTTAGACCAATACTAGTATTAGCAGTAGTACTTGTACTAATACTGACTCAAAACTAATACTAACACTACAAACCTAACAACAATACAAACATAAAGACTACTACTCATGATGATAATTATACTAAGGTTAAACCCAGAACAGGTCTAAATCAAGACTCAGACTAACACTATTACACAGGCTGGGACTAAGAATAAGACTAAGGTTAGGATTACACCACGACTAAGACTAGACAACACAAATATTCTCAACCAAACTTGCATGTATGTTCTGTGTGCGCCTGCCCAAGCAGATTTTACTCGCAGCAGTATGGGCGTTGAGAGTAACACGCAATCAAGACGAGAGCGGAGATACGTAATATAAATGTCGCGATGCTTGTAGACATAAAGAACTTGACGGAAGACGTGTCGAGATAGTAAATGATGCCCACGAACACGCAATCTACCGACATTTACATGGCTTCCGGCTTCCATGTGCAACAGCACAGCGACATAATTGATCACTCATATGGTCACTAACCCCCACGTCTTCTTAGACTTCACTTCGGGTCGGACAAGAACTTGCTTTATGAAAGCCATGAAAGTGTAGGTACGTCGGGGGGGGGTAACATATATACATATATATATATATATGTCTATATACATATATATCATATATAGAGCAACAAAATCCATTGCACGAAAATCATTGGACTCATGCCGCATGGTCCCTGGTCTGCCAGGTTCCGACATAGTCGTGCGCACAGCAGAACTGCCCCGTCTTGAACACCTGGCATGCTGCATCATGTGCGGCAGGGAAAGAAAACCAAGCAATGATAGCGGCCAGGGCAGGCGCGTCCATCTCAATGTAACTAGCATGGAACTGGCATTTCTGTTCTGCGCATCGCCGATACGCATGTCACCCGTTCTCGACCAATGGATTCGCTGTGACGCGTTTTGGATGGCCGATGGTCACCAGCATTACCAAAGCAGAGCGGCTCAACTGCTGAGTTGCTAGTACAACAAGGAAAACTCCCTCTCCTAACCTCAAAACACTGTCCTCGTTACCTCAGCCGATGCTCGAGGGATTGGTTACCTTCATTTTGGAATCTTTGGATCCTTTTGCGGAGTAACAGAACCGCCAGCGGCAGCATCGGCATGCAGCAGAATCACCACTACCCCCACCACCACCAAATCGCGGATCCGATCGCCTTGGTCTCCAGAATTTCTTGGACGATGCTGCGCAGCATGCATTCGTCCAACCTCGCGTGCTTCAGCAAGCGCAACACCTCAAAATCCAGCTGGTGCAGCTGAGCCGAATACCCAGCATCTACAAATGCCGGACTCTTCCCACCAAGCTCCAGAGTCATCGGGGTCAACATCTGGCAAGGCTGTCGAAACATAAGGACTTCTTCATGCCACCCACATCAGAGACCCAAAGCCTGACCGCAGCGAGCAGCCACGAGCTTGGCGATCTCGCCGCCGCCCGTGAATGACTCAAATGGGGTGAAAGTCAAAAGCACGGCAGAAACAGCTATGTTGCATGATGACTGTGTTGACTGCATGAGGCGACGGCCACGTGATCAGCTCCTTCCGGGATTGTTGGCAAGTGACGTGGCATTTCCTGTTCTGGTGTGGTGTCTCACATGCTATTGCAATCTCCTTGTCAGCTCATTAGCTGCAGCAACCTTCGTAGGCTTTACTCAGGTGCCTAGCCCTCGGGATTGTGTGGTCCATGTGGCCTTCCGCTGGGACTTTCGCTCTCAATTGAATGATTTTGAACAGCGATTGCCTTCTCCGGTCTGGATACTTGAACGATCGGCTTTCTGGAAAAGATCTTTCTGCCGTGGTGGACATGCTCGGATTTGTCGGTGTGGAGCGCATGTCCGTTTGAGCGTGCCAGAGCCTAGCGGGAGGTTTTGTGAGCACAAGCTGACGAGTGAAATGTGCCAGTGGACAACGAGAGCACCGAGCCGAGGGCTTGCGCGGTTGCACCGACGGGAATGCCGTAGCGCAAAGCAAAGTAGTCAAAGCACTGTTGCTCCTTCATCGATGAGCCTTTCGACAACCTGCCAATGCCATGCCAATGCTGATCTTCTGCACTCATGCAAGCGGCACGCGGCACTCTCCGTACCTCTTTTCCACCCTCCTCAACCCACACATAGCCACTCAGGTACCTACCAAGATCAGTCACCAAGCCCAGTGACAGCAGGGCAGCAGTGCGGTGAAGTCAACTGCGAAGCATTTGGACATGGCTGGCCTTTGACCTGGGCAACGCTTCGTGGGAATGCACTGCGCCGCACCCGCTGCTCGAATGTATGCACCAGTGCTGTGCTTCCAATCAGAGGCAGTGTGCAAAGGCGCCGAAGGACTGCCGAAACAGCAGGAACCAACTCCGGGGGTTTGACAACAACCTCGATTGCATGTGGAGTCCAACAGCTTTGTCTGATTCTGAAACAGCACAAGAGATGTGTCCTTGCAGCATCTTGCAGCCAGTGGCATGATTCCCAGCCGCCAGCATTGACACCGCATTGGCCAAAGTGATTGTGGCCGGGGCATTCCAGGGCGTGATGTTGATGCAAACCTGAGCCAACCCGTGTACCACTGTAGGACTTCGTCGCAACGCATGCCTGGCTAGATGCATCAGGAGGTTTCAGCATCGGGCCCCTTTCGGCTCATTGTATATCGCCCACTCCGCCTCGCATCAAGCCATGCCATGTGTGCAGGAATTGGCTTGACTTGTGAAAATCTTGCGGCCTCCACACCTGCTTTCAACGGAACCGGGACGAGATCTTCCACAGGCTCCTGGCCAAAAGCATGATGTCAAAGTAGTTTCCACTTTGTTGAACCGGGCAGGCTCTCCGGCTTCACCCACTCCGGGAGCAAGCTCTTGTAGAAAGCAATGCCTCGGATAGCAATACTCTTGACGAGTTGCGCCGCGATGAATTCACTACCACCGGTGTCTGAGCACCTGACCCCCCAAGATCATCTTTGCAGAACCATGAAACTTGTCAGGCACAACCTCGCCACTCAGAGACTACTGAAAGCCTGGCTCATGGATTCAAACCCTTCGGTCAGAATCCATGTCACATCATGTTTCCTTAAAGACAAGCTCCTTCGTGTGAGACAAACTTGTGAGACCACTGCGGTTGCCGAAGAGCTCAGCAGCTCCAGGCTCCGTCTCCCACCGCCCTCTACGTCTCTGTGCTTTGTCGACGACTAGACGACGACGGGGATGGTGCTTCTTCCTCCTCTTCAACTTCTTCTGTGGCCAGCTGTGGTCCGGTGGCACGCATGGGGTTGGGTCGCGGAATCGCTTTAGGCGAAATGAATGGATCGGCACGGGGCGCACACTGCTCAGCGAACCAATACTAAGGACAAGAACACTGCAAAGAAAAGTCACCCTGGCTTACATTGTGATGGGCGGTGCCATCTTGCACTGGACAGCTTCCACTCAGGAGGTGGCTCCGTTTTCGCGGCAGCAATGCGGGGAGTTTGCCTACTGAGCCTGCTGATGATACATCAAGAGGTTGTGTTGGGATGAATATCACCATGTCTCGCAGCTTGCTCCCACATGCCCCCCGAACACGAACCCACTATCTTTGCGGTTGCCCGGGCCGGTTCCGTGTAATTTCTGTCTTGGTTTCCAATCACCTGGGTCGCAGGCCCGATCCGTCGCCTGCGCCTGGCTGATTTCCTCGCAGCTGTCGGCAACCAACTGGCCCACCTACCAACATGTCATGTGACAAACGCAACGGCGAGCCTTTCAAGGAACGCTCGAATTAGGAAGAGCACGACGGCCACGGCCTTATCCAGGACAGCCAAACGGTCCTGCCAGTATCTTCGCCAGACTGCATTACGAGCATGGACAGCATGAGCGGATGCTTCGCACCTCAAGTGTTTTCAATGGCCGCCCGTGCTCACGGAGGAATGACACCGGAGACGGCCCTGCTGCCGGCAACGCGGACAGTTCCGCTCCGTCTAAAGTCAGCATCTGGTCAATGCAGCCATCCAGTGTCGCTCCTGTGGTCGAGGTTGCTGCCTTCCTAAGCCAGTCTGGCAGTCATCACAAGTTGTGCAGCTGGCTGTTTGCGATCCTGCCTGCAGTAAGTGCATTGCGACACATCCTTCACCTCCTCGTCTACGATCTGCAGCTGCACCCTCAGCAAGCAAAAGTGGTTCAAGCTGGCCGAAGACTATTGACATCCTGCTGGGATCTATGGCTCATCATCATTCCAGCTGCAAACGAACTAATCAGAAGGCCAGAGCAGGTCGGGGAGCGGTGCAGGCTACGTAAGCAATGAAAGCCTCTGCACATCTTGGACCACATCTTGCCTGTATCCGGGCGTAGGACGACATGCTGGCTTTGCACTTCGCAATTGCAGGACACGCAATTACACGCATACCGAGCGCCGCTTCCAACCCTCGCATGGCACCCTCACAGTACAGCTGCTGCTACAGCTGGTGTCCGTGCAGCTGGATACTTCAGACGAGTCACGAATCCGTCGGTTCAATTAGTGGTTTTAGTTCAGCCGCCGGAGTTCGGACCAATAGGCCAGACCACGGGGTCGTTTCCGAGCGGTGTACTCGGCTACAGGAAGCTCATAGGAGCGTGATAAAGCTTTGCTAGTTGCAACCTGGCATCCTGCAATGCTGCCTTGCGGTATGTGTGAGGCTCCAAACCGTACGAGGTGCCGACATCATCTTGTCTACGGATAGCAACTTCCTCGACATTGACACTCCGCTGCACATAATGAATATAGCCCATGTCTCGCCTTTCGATCCGCAGCGTCGTTTCTGACGGTGGGCCCTCTGGCCCGCAAACCTTCCGACTGGAACAGTCTGGCTTGGTGGTCTATGCCAACAACATATGCCTTGGGACCATGCAGCTCCGTTCTCAACAATCCTGACCTGAGACGAGCGCCGCTGTAAAAGCGAAACCTGCTGGGGGTTCGCACTGTTGCAAGGTCCATCTCAGTCTTCGTCTCAGCTATCCATTGGTGACGCCATTCCAAGTTTCCACTGAAACCTGGAGCTCAATCAAGAACCCGAGGCAGACTGACAAGCCAACTTTTTTGAGAGGCTGGGTCTCCCCACGGCGTGATGCGATTTTCCCGAAACAGTGTGGTATACACTGCATGCACGTGGGCTTCCGCCCTTCCACCAAAGAGAAAGGTGAGCATACCCACTCAGCGCGCTGCGGACAACGCCAACAGGCGACCACAAGGAAACCACCCATAGACCACCAAGATACCACGAGACCACCAGGGCACGCTTTCCCCAGTGCTGGCGGGATTCCGGAGCATTCCGGATCACGGCCAACATGCTTTCCCCAGGTGCTGGCGCGATTCACGAGGCCGGGCAAGATTCTTTCCACCAACTACTTCTGCGACTCAAGTGGCTCTTGGTAATTTACAATGGCTCTCCGGGTGACGTGGCCGCACGTACGCGAGCCTATCCACTGCGGGAGCCGCTCCTTCATCCTGGTCATAGATTTCAACCGGGACCAGCCGCGCTTCACTGCGCTGCTAGAAATGTGCCTTTGGTTCGGGTCGTGAGCTAGCCCATCGGCCGATGTCCACACGTCCACAGGGAAGTGACCGTCGCAGAACCCACAGCCAAGTAAGTCCCTCCACTGCGCTAGAGGTTCGTGCGCGAATTGCCTTGATACACGGTGTGCGCCCCAGAATCCACCAGTTCGGTCCTGTCAAAGGGGTTTTGCGGCGGTTTCGGGGCGTGCGGTGTGCCCCCAAACCTGTTGGCCTGCGTTCCCCTGCCCGGGATTGCCCGGGTCCCTGTCTGTTTTGGCTTTCCCCATATGTGTCTGCTGGCCTACGTTCCGCTGCCCGGTTCTTACGTTCTGGTACGTTCCTTTCCAACTCGGGATAAGCAAATTCAACTGAAAGTGTCCGACCTCGATGCAGAAACAAGGGATGCGTGGCACCCGGTCCCGAGAGCCGCACGTTTTCCCTCACTGTCGACCTGAATGTAGCTCAAACGAAATTATCAAGCAAGTTTGCACCAGTCAACTTGTAGGATCAATGGGGCCCGGCAGCTAAAGCTTCTGCCTTAGCTGCCAAGATGTTCTTGACCATACTGCTGTCGCTCAATGGGCCGTTGAGGTTCACTTCACTCTGCTTGAATATCTTTTAATTCCTCAATGCAGTGCTTCTTGATGCTTCGACGCATCCTTGTCTCCCTGTGCTGCTTGTGTTCAGCATATTTCAAATTTCAACATCCCCAAAAGCATCTGAAGGGCTGGCTGTTGGAGTATCGCTCGGTTCAACCAGGAGTTTGCATTCTCGAGTTCCCTTCGTTGCACGTAACGAGTTGGATAACGGTCTGCAACCGTGGGAAGCGACTCCAATATCGTGCCACAAAGATTTCATACCCGGGCATCTCTTGACAGAGCTTAGTGCTCCCCATGCATCCAGTGAAAACCGTGCTCCATTTGCAGATATTCTCAGCCTTTGTCCATGTTCACCCTGTCGTTCTTCGACAGTTTTGTCCTCTCGCATGGAAGTTCTTTCTGCCAGTGTCTAATCGGATGTCTGTAGATACTGAGTAAAGCTCACCAGCTGCTGGCATCTGCTTGCATTGCAAGGCGATCGGCCACAATCATCTATGCGCACATATTTAGCATGCCGATATGGAATCGCTCGAGGAGAGTGTACCATCCGAGTGGCGACCACGAAACGCCCCTTCGAGGCGCACATAGGCCAGTGGATCCGAGCTGCCCGGACAATAATCACCCGTGCATGGTGCACGACACCTCGCACCAGAGTCGAACGGGTGGTGCAAAAACGATAGCGGTGTGCACCATCGGTGGCTGGTCGAGTGCGGGTGTGTCCGTCCACGAGGGTGGCCACAGGAATCTCATACAGCGAGTTCGCCCCCACTGCGAGACGATATTATGTTCGCAAGGCGATGCCAATTTTAATTTTGGGCTCCCGCATGGCTGGTCTCAAGGCAAGCTGAATCAAGTTAGGTGAAAGCCAACACAACTTCGCACTGAAGTTTTGCAGTTCTTACCATCGCAGGGGCTCTCCAGGACACGTGATGTCAATGCTTTTGCATGGTTTCCGTGCTATGCCAGTCTGCACTAGTCGGATTCAACGAGTATCGCAACTTGTTTGCAAAGCACCGCCGGCACAGTGACAATCGACCAAACGCGCTCGGCCTTATCTGGGAGCGCCCGACAGCTGACACTGGACTCCTGATTATGCCACCGAAAACCCCACCAAGACAGCGAATTCATGAAGCACGAGCACAATCGGTTACACCCTGACCGCTGGTATGGCCTGGTACACATGATCAGGTTTTATCAGCCGAGGCACGTCATCAGGAGCAGAGCTCCAACCATCGCCGACATCGCCACATAGTAAGCTGTGATACCTGAAACTTTGGCGATTCTGCAGGTGCTACTGGAACAAGACACGAGGGCCACCGTGTGGAATGAACCTCGAAGGTGACCCTGTGTGGATTCGTGCTCACACCTTGGTCTTAAGTCTACGGCCTGCAAGCACCGGAGAACCGGACCATCCAGACTGCGTGCTTGGAATGTGTATGAAGCTACGGATACATCATCGAAATAAGTTTGGACAGCAAAAAGAGCCCTCGGGTTGTGTTCTCGTGTTGACAGATGAGATGTGCGTGTTGCTTGGGAGTGTTTTCGAGACTGAAATCTCCACGTGAGCAAGCGGCCAAGGCGGGCTCTACCAGAGCTTTGACTTGCTCTGGGACGGGCTTGATTCTGATTCTGACGGAACTATCACCGGATTTTCAAACGTCCCCTTGTCCGATTCGGAAGTGTCAGCACAACGTCCAGTTGTTTTCCGGCGATCTCTAAGCCTTTCTCTGACTGATGACTGTTTCTCTACAGACCCTACAAAGATCTTCGACTGAAGCTGAGGAAGAAAACAAATCGTTTGCTGGCCGAAAGCAGAAAGCAACACGAGCTCACAGTAATGCACATGTACTGATGGGTATAGTTGGTTGCAAACCGACACTCGGAATCGCAACCTCAACATTTAGATTCGTCACAGCATTGCGAAAACGCACGCAGCGGCCTGCAACCCTTTTTCAGCACGGGATTTGGGTGTGTGCCGGCAAGCTGGAATCTCTGAGTTCAGCACGAATCTTCTGGACATGGCCGGTAGAATCGTCCTCTGGCAAACCATCAGTTAGCAGCTGGCAAAGAGGCAAGGCAATTTCAAACGTGAGGGAACCCAATTTGCCTCACCGGCCGGCTCTGGAACCCAATCCCTGGAGTGCAGCCGCTTCAAAGTGCTGCACCAGAGCGTTGTTCTCAGACAATTCACAGTTTCTCTTCTGGGGTACGTGCCCGGCATAGCTTTCAGCCTGGTCGCGAACAGCACCATGCAAGAATCGAAAGCAAGAGCGACATCCCATGCTTGCCTGGAGCGACTGTCCCATGAAAGAGCATCGAGACTTGGGGCCCAAGTCTGACGCCACCAGGGCTTCTAGAGCACTGCCGGTGGAAGTGGGGAGACTCAGACACAAGGGCTCTGCAGACTTCGTGGGTGGGTCTAATCCAATTGTTCGCACAGATGCAAATGGCAATGGCAAGCACAATCATCTTTCGCAATCTGGCACTTGCGCAGGAGTCTATCTCTGCAGCGTTGTGGCTTTGTGCCAGCATAGAATTTCACTGCTCCGAGACCTTCTGCTTAATTGTGCAATGCCAGTTTCAGAATCTATGCCTTAGCGTCAACAATTGCAACTCACCATGGGTCCTCACAAAAAGCTCCGGTCGCAAGCGTGCAAAGTGTCCGGCAAGAACGAGATCGGTCTTTTTCCTGAGATTCAGGAGCCGGAACAGCTGCGCCCACTTGAAGTACACTCTTGAGTACATATGCAGCTTCTGAGGCAGATGCGTGAGAACCTCGCAGCGAGGGCGCGTCGAGTATCTCTGAGAGCAGATGCCTCTTTCCTCTGGGCACGCGCCTCTCCGCGCGTGGAGTGATGACTCCTGCCCAGACAGGCGCCCAGCCAGGCCAAGACAGGGACAAAGGGAGAAACGAGGAGAAAGGTGTTTGTTCTCGCAGCGTCGCAGCGCTCCTGTGCTCCAAGCCGCTTTCGGATCTGTCCATGTGCTTCGTCGTCCAGACCTGCAAAGCAAAGCACTGCACAGAAGCCACTTCAATGCAAGTTTGCAACTTGGCGGCGGCCTTGGCTAGGTGTTCCATGGGAACCTCTGCCAAGGACCGCTGACCCCGCTTCTTCGAGTCGTGCAGACGCTTGTATGCGTCCAGCACGGATACCTCTGTCGCCCCCACTGACCCCGCAACACGATCTGTGGCACGTGCTGATGCAGCAGACATCAAACACTGTAAGAACCCGCTGCCAGTAGGGACTGGCAACAGCTGCGAAACAAAAACCAGAAGTCTGAGACATGACATAATACCGTATTGAAGTAGGGCAACATGGCCGTAATATTCCACCCAAAGTTTATATCGGGGTGCAATTTGGATGCTGAGCCGTATCTACTTGCGAAGCTTACATCTTCGAGGGCTCACCTGCAGCCTGCAACCCAAAACTGCTGTGAAGTCAGTCGAGCCAAGCTTGCATTGCATGGCTTCCCGCCGTTGGTACTCCATCGGAGTGCTTGCTTTTAAGCGTACCACGTCTAGCGCAAAGCAGGAAGGCGCACCGCATTGTCCAGCAAACTGTTGACCGCATAGAGGGTCGATTCTGCCTCCGAATTCAAGACATGCCCTCAGAGCTTCTCGACAATGCTTGCTGCTGCAACTGTTTTAGCAGATCTAGCCCAAACACATAATCGGAAAAAAATAAGTCTCGTGCCTTGGCCAATGCCATTGTCGACTGAAGCTCGCTGCACAGATACGCAGTTTCTCGCAGGGCTTCGGTCGGGTCCTGCGGAAGCACATGCAGGTAATTGCCAAGTCATGTAGCAAAGCCAATCACTTTCTGTCTCTTGCTGTCTTTGAGGAAAGAAGGTTTTCATCTGGTTGGTTCCCCACACCAAGGCTACTTCAAGCCCAGGCTTCCCCGCCAGCTTCATGTGAGGAGGCAGAAGATCATGTGGAACACCCAGTTGCGACAAACTCCACTGGAACAAACTCTGCTGCCTGTTCTCGGCTCAGGGTAAGCAATCCTTGCCTTTTCATCGCTGAGCTGCTCCACCAACAAATGCACCATTTGTTACATCTGGTGTGGCGGGGTCTGGCTCCCTCGGACGTCCTTCGCGTCTCGCTTCAAGCTGGGTGCGTAACGTCGTTGGGCTGGACCTCCTCCCTTGCCGTCTGCGGTTTCTCTCATTCAGTTGCCTCTGCCCTGCCAGTCATCAGGAGTCTGCTGAACCCACGTACTGGTTGCGGGAGAGCCCCTCCCACCAAGAATGTACCCCCTGCTGTCAACAGGAACAGGATTCGCATACTAGTCATGGACCCCGCTCTGCTACCCCCAATGCACGATGCCGGCTTGTTCGAGGAGGCTGGGACCTTACAGACAAAAAGGACGAAGCAACCTTCAACGCTGCTAATTGCTCATGTTGGCCATCGACCTCCATGAACATCCAGATTATCATATGCCAGTGTTTATCGACCGAGAGACAGGGTATCGGCCATATCCATCAGGTCTGCCCCAACGAATCGCCGCTGCTGCGCAAGGTTAGTACCGTAGGCATGTCAAATTCTTCAAGCTTGGACGCTGTTTCGGGAATTGTGTAATGTCCACCGATGCGGCAGTGCAAGGATGCAGCATGTCAATCATCTCATGGCGAACAATATCTTTTCAATTATGTTCACTTGCAAATTTCATTGGCGACTGCAAGGTATGGTCTTCGGAACGGCATCATGGTGGTTAAGCTCCGAGAGGCCTTACAGCATGTTCCTAGCTCAGTGGATCAGTTTATTGCTACGACTGCAGTCATGTCATGTCCCGCTTCTTAAAGAAAGCGTCTCGGTCTGTGCGCGATGTCAAACAACGTTGTCGTACCAAGCATGGGTGCTTCTTGCCTCACATCTCTCGGTTTTGCGCAGCGCCCGTCTAGATGTCCTTCTGAAAGGTTACAATCCGCAGCGTCGCCAAGGCCACCCGTACTGGTAGTTAAAATCCATAACTAGGCCGTCTCCCGATTGGTGAGCGCGACAAGAGTTTGCATCTACACTGTACTGCGCTTTCGAAGTGGGTTCATGGCGCAGAAGTGGAGTCCAGCAACCAATGTTGCATGACAAGAATCGCTTGTGCAAAGCGGTTGTCTCGTGTCCTTGGAGGAGCAGAACTTATTGATGAGGAGTGCATCTGCATTCCCAGCTACATGTCACGACAGTTTAGATCCCTTCGGAGCTTGGGTCCTGCATGTTCCGTGACTTTGCGAACAGCTTTTGCAAGACAGTCCGGCTGCAAAGGATCTTGACACAGCACGCGAACTTCTCAAAACATCGACCCCATTGCTTCCAGCAGCCAGAGCTGGCAAACACACCTCCGCAGAGTGCTCGACATCGAAACTCGCGAAGCACAGAGACGACACACCTCTGCATCTCAAACTGTTCAGACACCTGTTTTCAAGGAAGAACTTGCAGACCCGTGCGGCAACCTTTCTCACTCCCTGTTACGTTTCAGAACCAACCCATGAGAACTTCGGAGAACCGCAAGATTTTGTTCAGACGGCGAGTGCTCGCACTTGCGACCATTCTGTGAGCGACTTCCCAACAGTGCGCTTCTATACAACTGCACTCTCTCGAGCTTGCTCCGGGGCCCTGCCTAACGAACGTAAGAAGATGTGCAACTGGAATGTGTAGATGCGACTCTTGTTGGCACGTGGGCTGTCTTGAAGGTCAACGCAATTCAAGAATGCCCGTTCCACGAGGATTTTTTACAGGTCCCTTTTAATACCAGGCTCTTGTCGAATCTCGGCAAAGCTGGGAAATTCGTCAGCGCGACCACGCGCAAAGCTCGTTAAAGTGCCTTTTGAGTCGTGCCGTGAAGTGGGATTCTTGAAGAAATTCTACAGCAGTCGAAGTGTTACCCGGCTGACCCCGCATGCAGAAGTTGCTGCTGGATCAAACCATCTCTTTAGCTTCGGTGTCGTCAGAGGGTAACTTGCGCATGGTCTCTGATTGAACGTATGCTGCCAACTTTTGGAATGCTGTGTGGCCTTCCAATGTATGTGCGACCCTATTTTCAAAAAAATCGAAAGCTGATGTCGGAAAGATTCGGAAAGCTTAGTTCTTAGTCCAGAGACACTTGGCTAATTAACACAATACAGAGGCTGACAAGCCTGCGAAAAACGAAGCACGCAAGCTGCTGCGCTCACGGCAACACAAAGCGCTTGGCGATCTTGAGTGACATTCTACAGGTTTAAACGCTTCGCTCTCTAGAGGCGCTGAAAGGTTCTTCTTTTTGACGAAAGGAATTCTGAAAGATCCCCAAAGACTTGTTGCAATTGCTCGCTGCTCACTCGCACCCCAGCTAAGCGCAGCGGGTATCTTCGAGAATGCGGGGGGGGCCTCCCTACAGACCCCTCGCTTCTAGACAGCGTTCGGCTTTCGCTGCATATCTCCAGCAGTCTTTGGCAAGCACTGCGGCATCAATATCCAGCTTACTGGGTGGTAAATACTAGAGACTTATAGATTGCATTTTTGGGTGCTAGGGCCCCCTTCTGGGGTCAAAGACTTCAATTGGGCGAAACATCCGAGTAAGCGCTTTTCCGAATTTTGATCGCAGAGTTGAGAGCCCTTTCCAATGATCGTAACGTCTCGGACTGCAGAGTCACGTGGCAGGAGCTGCTTTACGACTTTGTTGCTGAGTTCGGGGTTGTACACGCTTCAAGAATCGTGACACGCTGATTCAGAGATCATTCGGTCAGATTGTTTGCAGCCGCCGACATTTCAGACCTGGGACTTTGTCACATAGCCCATCTTACATGTTTGGCTGGCGGCAGCGCAGCAGGCATTGGTGCATGTAGGAAAACTGTTTGGGGTTGGCGGCTTCGAGCAGCAATGCTTTGACAAAGGGTCGCCGAAAGGGTAGCGTGTACTGGGCCCTGGCAGTATTTCGATGGGCCCCCGCAAGTCCTGGATAGGTTGATTCTCCATGTACCAAGTGGTCCTGCCACCCAACAGTCTGTGCGTCATCACTCTGGCGAGCAACATTCAGCAACTGCCAGGGTTTCAGTTCAAGTCCTCAGCTCAGGAGTATCTCGTGTGTACTGCACCTGGCAGTGGCACGCCGTCAGAATATGTCACCGCTGGCTGCAACACTCACTCTTCTAGCAGCTCATGGCAGCAAGGGCACAGGGCCAAGAGTTTGAATAGTCCTGACATGCACACAAGTCCAGCATTCACGATCAATGAAAGCGTCCGAGAATGGAAACCGATGCAAATGGAGCTTCGACCTTGAGCCCTAAAGCACAATGGACGTATGAGGTCAGCTGCAGGTGAACGATGCCCGAATACGAACTAACGCCGTTTGCGGCTGAGCCCTGGCGAAACTGGAGCCTTTCAGTCCGTGCCTTGACGAAGGCGGCATCAAGCACCGAAACTTGCAAGCTCATTAGACCAGCTAGAGGCCCTCCAAGCAGCAGAGCTCCTGTTTTTTGGTGGGGGTAGGTCGACAAACGGTCTTCGCACCTGAGGTTCAAACCAGAAAGTATAGAAGCTCTTGCAAAGGCTATTCAACGCCGTAGGCTTCCGGCGTTCCTTTGCTTGAGCAGGTGCACGTAAGCGGGCAAGATTCGGTACTCCTTCAGATCCAACTGCATTCACAAGAGTGTCACAAGTGTGCAAGCATGCTCCCTTCCTGTGTTTCTTCCTCGAACTCGGTTCGCAATAAGCATGTCAGTGGAAGTCCACGCACACGCCACCTCAGTGTCAAATGTGCTGAGGCGAGGGACTCAGTGAAGACCATGGGCAGCATTTCACAGCATCTGCGATGCTGAAGCCGATCCGAAGCCAAGGCCCTGCCGATGCCTGCGAACTGGGTCCGGCACTCGCTGACGTCCTTCCTTGGTTTTGGCTGCCGTGCCCCGACAACTTCGCTGTCCTACACACTCATTTTGATTACAAGATACTACAAGCGTCAGGTCAGAGGCTCTGCACGTTTAGTAGCGATCGCTAGTGCTAGTGTTTTTGCATGTTGGAGCTGGGTCGGGTTGGGAGCTGTACACACAAGAGGCAGGCCAGCCATTGTGCTCGGATCACAATGATATAGGGGCTGATAATAATTTGATGCCCTCACACCCCTTTTTATAATATCTTATAGAGGTGGTGGTGTCTTGAATGGCCTCCCAAGGTGCACGGGGCGCCCCCGCAGAGTCAATAAAATGATCGCCCGGGGGATGGGGAAAACCAGTTTGCGGGCTGGCATCCACGAGCATATTCTCTATGGAATGACTTGTTTGGGTTACTGTTGTGTGCATGAGTTGCCCGATGACATCATGCTCATCGATGCGATCCGGATGCTGGCAAAATACTATAGAATCTATAGAATGGCCTGCGGGGGTTCCTCCTGCCCTGGTGAAAGAAAGAGAGAGAAAGAGCGAGAGATAATCACGGCAGCCCTGCTTACGCCCAGAAATCCAGAAACCCCAAACCCCTGGACACAGAAGCCCCGAACACGCAACACCTGAAAACACAGGCCTAAACCCAGAAACCTTGAACCCCGAATCCTTGAATCCAGAAACCCTCTACCCTGACATGACCGCTTCCGGGCCAGTAGGACCAGTAGGCAATAAGACTTTACCAGAGATGACTAAGGGCCAATCCTCCCTCTGCCCCGGGCCGGGACCCGGGGGACTGCCAGGCGGTGCCCCAGGGCCCCGCTGGGGGTAGAAGGCAGGATTGCAGGCTTCTGGGCTTGGGGTGTAGGGCTTCAGAGTTCAGTTTTCTGGGTTGCGGGCTTCTGGCTTGGGCGGTTGAAGGGTTAGGGGTTCTGGGTTTTTCGGTTGTCGACTTTTGTGCTTATATTAGGGGTTCTGGGTTTACGAGGCTTACTGTAAAGGGTTTGGTTTCTGGGTTGGGGGTGTGGGGGGTTCTGCAATTACGAGGCTTTAGAGGTTTCGGGTGCCTGGGTTGGGCTTAGGGGTGTAAGGGTTCTGGGTTTACAGGGTTATGTGGTTTGCCAGTATGAAATGACTGCCCTGAGAAGCCTTGGGTTTTCTTGAAAGTCCCAGTAATATACCATGACCGAACCTATGGGGCTATAGAATGACTCCAGGGCGTCGCCCGGAACAATTGAGATGACAATGCACGGTGATGCAATTTTCGTCGACCTTTATTTAGCCTACCGACCGGCTTCTGGCTAGAGAACGACTCCGCTGAGATACCCTAGACTTTTGCTGGAAAACACAACAAATCTATAGAATGAGCCCCCAGGGTTCCTACAAAAAATCCCCTCAACAAAAAGACCCGGTATGAAATGGCCAAAACCATTTCATAGAGGTCTGACGTTGGCCATTTCATAGGGATATTCTCGAGGGGTATACCATGATCACCTCGGCCTTCTTTCGCGATGTGGTAGTGCGATTGCGAACACGTGCCAAACAAAGCTAGTTGCAATTGAAATTCACCCGTGCCGCCGGAATGCACGCAATGCAAGAAGGCATGTCATATCACCCCCGTTGCTTAGCCTCTCCGCCAGATCAGGTCTCTCGTTTCAGAAGTGCTTTGACTGGACAGACTAGAAGCTGACAGTCAGTTTGACACCACGAGGGAAAGGTTGAACACTTCACACCATACTAGTTGTCAGAGTTAATTGCAGGGCAATCTCTGATTCCAAGACACAGTGATAATAACGCTTCTTTTGTGTCTTGAGCCAAATATCGGTGATAACGTCTTCGAGTGAAACTGCTTCAAGATGATCTACATAAGAAGGGCCTGGGGGCTCGTGTTTTCTCAACTCCCCCCTTGTAGACAGCGTGAAACAGTTAGTTACAGGAAACTAGTTCTACTGCGAGGCACTCGGAAACCTAACTCGTCTAACAACTGCGCTTCAGGCGGTTTCAGTTCAGCTGGTGCTCGAGGCGTAAACGCTACTAGCACAACGCGGGACTGAAGTGGCCCTTCCCACGGCACGGTGCAATGTCTGACAGACGGTTGGAAGAGTGCAGGCAGTTCTTCAATGCGACCTGGGCTATTGCAATCACGCTGTGGGCATTGCTGCTCGCCAAGTGGATCCTGGACCCATATCTGACCACCCTTTACCTTGGTTAACGGGTAGACAAAGTTGTACGATCCTGGATCGTTGTACTTGTCAGTGTGCAGGTCAAACTGACAACTTTGGAAAATCGCTACAGCAGTGAAGGTTAGGTTCTTGGCCTGTTGCCGAACGAACCTTGTGAGGACACGCGTAACCCCCCTGAACTTGGACGTATTGCTCCTTAACCCTACTATGCCACCTCCATGTGCATACGCTCCGGTTGTAAATCCCTTACCCTCGGAAGAGACAACTGGGCGAGACGAAGAATCTGGAGGAAGAAGGTAGAACAGCTGCAGAATATGATTTTCTGTCAGTCTGTGTGGCAGGATGCCGGCAACAGACTCAGGATCAGTATCTGCAAGAGGATCTTCAGGAACGAAGTTCTGTGATGGAGCAGCAGGTATCGGGGCATTTGCGGAACCCTCAGACAGGCAAAGCTGTTCCAGCATGGATGGCCACTCTTGGGGGCTAATCACTTTCGTGAATCCATTTGCTCGTTGCTCCGTCGTAGGGCAAAAGGTTATCTGGACGTGCGGCTCTGCGAGTCTCTCACAGATAGACGCTACGTTGACCCTGTGCACCCTAGGCATGTGGCGGAGTTTAGCAGAACAGCCTGCCTTAAGAATGGAAATCACGGTATTATTGTCTTGCCTATAAAACACCGGGATCTCGAACCCAAGGATATCGCCTAAATACTCTTGAAGGTTTTCTACCTCTGAGAACATGGCGGTCGCGAGAGAGATCGTTTCGGCCTCTGTCGTGGACCGAGCTGTGGAGGACTGCTTACGCGATACCCAGTGGAGTGGATACGCGCAGTCTCCGGTCTTTGCAACGACGAGGATTCCAGTCGTGTTTTTCGCTGACAGAGGGCAAGAAGCAAAGTCTGCATCTGTATACACCTCTATCTGGCAACCCAAGTCCCGTTGCGAAACAGACCCTTTTAAAGTCACACGACTTGAGTGATGGAGGTACGACACACAACGAAGTAGTTGACGGTCGTCGAACCTATCCCATCGACTCACTTTAGAAGCTAACCTCGTGATTATGAACGAGATGTCTGGGCGAGCAAGTCTGCTGAGCCAGAGGGCTCGCATCAGGATGCGGGAGGCGGATCCGTGTAACTCACCGGTGCTGTTAAGCTCGCTGTCAGTTGCTTGGTTCTCGGGGAAAGCAGGTGACGCTACCTTGCGAAGCTTACTTTTCTCTACACCGGTCATTTCACAATAGAAATCAACAAGTTTCTGCGTGTAAGCAATCATGTCAAATTCACAAGTGGCTACGGAGTCATCACGCGTGAAACTGTGATGCCGCCCTAGAATCCTACAACCATTATTGCCGCCTTGAACGAAGACTTCTGGTTCAAGTTTCACTAGACCACGGAGCTTATGCCAGAACTGGGAATGAAGCTCTACGGGTCCGCTTAAAGTCAAGTCGTCGACGTAGACATTAAGCACTAGCTTCTGGGATCCGAACTCGAAAACCCAAGTGCTAGGGTAGGCGGGAAGTTCGCGACCTCCGAGCCTTTTCAACTGAACGGTTAAGTGGTCTTGCCATCTCTTACCCGATTCTGGGTGCCCGTATAGGCTTTTCTCAAGTTTAACTACAAGACGGCTGTCGGGAGGGAACCTCTGGGTCCACTCGGGGAGCCAGAGCTCGCGAGGGATTATTACCCAGGTCTCTCGACCGATCTTCGCTTGCAAGTATGCTTGGATGGCATCTGCCACAGAGGTCGCGTGACCGGGGCGGAGCCCGTAAAAGAGGCAAGCGGCAAGACCTACCAACCCGGTTTGTGTAGTCGCAGTTTCTTCTGAGCCGAACAGCACTGGGTTACCAGAAGCGTCGCGCACTTGGTCCCCCCTAAAGACTACACGGCCTTTGTACTTGTGCTGTGTTGGGTGCAACTCAAAGTGCTTTACACCACAAAGCGTCAGAAGTTCAGCGATTTGGACTCGGCGTCCAGTGTTGCGGCAATCCTGTTTCAGTTGCCACAAATGCATTACGGAATCGTCGTTCCATGTCTGGTTTGAGCGGAGTCCTACGCCCTCAGCCTGAACAGCCTCTAAACCTCGAGCATCCTTCAACCATTCGCTCTTAGCAAGATTGCGTGTCACTAACGCATTACTTGACGACAACGAAGGTGTGTGGCGATGGAAGTGCTCAGGGAAGAATGACTCGACTATCAGCTGAGCGACTTGTGAGTTGTAGTCGCTATTGGCATAGGAATCGTCTCCTTTCGACACACTTTGCGAAGTGGACTTGCTGTGCTCGTGTTGTCCAAACAGCTGGAGCACTCTAAGGGAAGTGGTGCTGATGCATGACCGCTTACCAGAGGAGCATCTGCTGAGCATGACTCTTTTCAAGTTCGCACGCTTCTCGAACTCAACCCAATCAGATTCGTTCCAGAGCCAACCCCCTTCAGGGCAGTCGACTGCAACGTGGCAGCCGTTGGAAAGCTTTTCTTCGGCTAACGAGATCGCGAGTTTCAGCATTTGGCGAACCTTCGCCCGGCTCTTTCTGAGCTGTGCTTTCCTACTCGCCCTATGCTCATGCACAGTTGGGTGTTGTTGTGCCGTTTGTTCAAGGCATGACATAGGCATCCAGATCACAGCGCCTTGCTTTATCTGACCTTTGGCCTGATCAACATGAGCTGGGTCTGAGAAGTCTATCGTTGACGATCCTATGTTAAGACAATCAACCCCGTACATTGCGCA